AGCTCAAGTAGCTGCAGCTGTAATCGTAACATCTGTGGATGAAGGTCTTGCTCGTAATCCAGAAATCATTTCATTGGTTAAGCAAAATTTGCCTAAAATTCTATCTAAAAGTGGTGAAAAATGGCATGAATTGGTGAAATACGTTGAAGAAAGAATGTGGGATCCTAATGTTGAAAAGTTTTTTGAAAATGAAACTTTGATTGAAAAAAGTAAATTTTAAAACTTCTACGTGTTTTTTTTAAATTAGTTTAGCCTATCAAATTAGATTATTCTGTTTTTCCTTAAAAAATATATATATATATTTATAGAATAGCATGATAACGCTTGCTCTAAAAAAATTCAAAAATTAAAAATCAATTTTTTAACTGTTTAAATTATTCATAAAGCATATGATATAAAGATTCATTACTTTTTGTCTTGATTTTTTTTTTAAATCAAATCACTTTAGGTGGATCTGAATTATACTTATTTATTAGATAGTGCAGATCCGCCGATATGATCAAGTTCTCAATGATTAGGAATTTGTAAATTGTAGGTCAGGTCGGACTTGGGCTCATTTTTTATCCAGATTATCATGTGAGTCGGGCTCAGGTAATAATAACAGAGCGGACTTGGGCTAGTTGAAAAAAACTCAATCTTCGTTAATGTATTGAAAGTAGAGTTTCAATCCGGATAAATCCGTCATCCATTTATCCATATCCGAATTTATCCGGATATCCGTTTGCCAAATATATCCGGATAAATTCAGATCGGATACTTGGATAACGGATTACGGATAATATGGATAAACGGTTAATGGATTGGAACTCTAACTGAAAGGAATATACTATTGATAGATTAGCTTGAAGGGTTTCATCACCTAATGGACTGCCAAACCAACCATGACCTAATTATCGCGTCGCATGATGCCGGTGATATAATATGGAGTCTTCATATTATAGGAGCTACGTAGCTTTTCACGTCGACCTTACGTCATAATTGAGTCGGGAATGATGCTGAAATAGCCTTAAATTACTAAAATCCACCTATACTCTTTTATTATAAACACTAATCCTAAATTCTAATCTAACTATAAAAAAAAGCTGAACCGTTCTAATGTCTGCGGCTTTATTAGTAAGAATGATTACTAATCATCTGAGGACTCTAACGTGACAAACAACCAATAAAAAATTCAGACTTCTAAACTTAGTTTTCTGGATTTTGACCTATAACACCACTCGTTTATTGCGATAAATCTCGAATTAACAAAGTATTCAACTAAATTTATTTTATATTTATTAAAGCGAATAATGTTTAATTATAATTTGTGAGAATATAAAAACAATTCTATTCTAATAAATTAATCGTAGAAATACAATAAATAGTAATAACAAATCTATCAAAGTCATTGTAGTGTTATAAATATTAATTAAGATATTAGCTAAGATCAATTTACTATAAAGTTCGCTCTCTTCCCTCCTCAGATTTTTAATCAGCATGATTGGCTATTTGCGGGGCTGGAAAATAAATCATTTTCCTTATGTATAAATATCTTTTTTTATCGCAACTATTAAATAGATATACTATTATATTAAAAAGCCAAAAATTTGTAATAATTTTAATAATCATAAATATTAAACGTCTCCACTGGAGCAATAGACTGGAGTATACGATACTAGCTGATATCTGACACACCCCTAAAATTAAGATCAAAAATTAATTTTTCTCAATTTTGAACAACTTCTTTCAAGAAGACGACGGTTATCATCTGAAAAATTTCTTCCACAAAAGATAGCTAATGATTTAAGATTTTTTAATTGTGAAATCGCACCCACAATATCCTATATGAAAACAAAAATCGATCAATTATAAATTATTAAATAATCAAAAAAAAGGGAAATGAATATTCACCAAATTATGATGGGTTTCTATGATCCTCCTAACATCCAAAGTAAAATTCTCAATAGCACTACAACACTCGCAAATTTCTTCAAGTTCTTCAAAATTAATGTAGTCCATCAATAATGACAAGTCTTCAATACCAACAAATTCTTTAATACCCCATCCCTTCACCTTTCTACAAGAATATATGCGAAGCCTTTTAAGAGTTTTTGACGAATTTCTTCCAAAAATTGAGATAATTTCATCATTTAAGTTTTCCAATTTCTTTAAAGAAAGTCCTTGAAGAACCGTTGTGTGCTCGGCTAATGCTAAAAGAGAATCTTTGATATTTAAACCTTCTAAGAACAACATTCGAAGTTTTCGAGTAGTAGTAGGATTAGAAAGCGCATAAATTCCTTTGTCAGTAAAATTTGTACAATCTTTTAAATCCAAATGAGTTAAATGTCTACACGATTTAGATAATGCAACTAAACTTTCATCCGTAATCTCTGTACACTGGACTAACCGAATCTTTTTGATTAATTTACAAGCCTTTACGACTTCACCAAATCCCAAATCTGTCGTTTTACAATTCACAAGAATTAATTCTTCTAGTGCTGCACAATTTGTCGATATCGATTCCAAAGTTGTATCATTTCCACTGTTATGATATAATGATATTGATTTTAAACCTTTCCAATGTCTAATCAGATCAATGGCCAGCGTAGGATACTCATTTGCGTTCTTAATTTCGCTACTGCATGAAAACTTTTCAATATTTGGACACCAATCGGCTATCGAGGAATCTATTTTCGCGTCACGGATTGCTAATTCTATAATCCATTCTCGTACCATTTCATTATATGCAAGAAATGTTTTTTTTTCTTTAGCCTTTTCGAGTGTTTGTTTGCATTTTTCAAGGGCCTTTGGTGTTGATGGTTTTGGTGCCCGGTATAAGCACGGTGAAGAAGCAATGTTCCATTGGGAGTTTACAAGAGTAAAGTTATAAAAATCTTTCTGTGCCTCAAGATAATTAAAAACCTGCTGTAATATATAAACGTGTGTTAAAGGGTGATAGAGGTGCATTCTTAAACCTTAACGTGAAGCAAGAAAAGGGGCTTTATAAATACATATCATATATTTACTAAAAAGACTAACAAATATGATTCAAAACTGCATGATATTCAGGATACGTATTCTGATGTGACATGATATCACGTTTTATAACCCGCTGCCCCAGATAATGTTTCAAAACCTGAAATATTTCGCCAATAACGATGACGAAAAGAAAACGTAATTCTGCCGGTTCCTACTGAGGACGTTCTCAATCAATAGGCTCAACAAAAATCTGATTGGTCTGTTTGATCAAACCGACCAATCAAATTCTTTGTTGTGCCCCATTGAGGATGCTTGAGAACACCCTTAGTTCAAAGTATTTCACACTTTATATATAGACTACAGTCAACTATCTATATAACGGAAATCTGGACTGAGACAAAATCTCCGTTAATCTGTTATATAACGATAACCATTATAAATTATTTAAAAATTCGGTTCTTGGCAATTTGTCCGTTAAACCAGTGAATCCGGGTCTAAGGGTATATCGACCGATCTGATCTAATAAAATCAAACCATAAGTGGTAATATTATTCAATGATTATCGTTATTATTTGGGGGTCGGTTAAGCGGAACGAATTCAATACGTATATGATCTACATACTGCATAAGTTGCATTCTTTGATTGTCTGGAGCAAAGCGTTTTTACGAATCCACCAGGGCGACCAAGAATTTTTCGGGCCACGTGATGATCGACAGCAAATTCATCCAATGAAATGATTTCTGGATTACGAGCAAGACCTTCATCCACAGATGTTACGATTACAGCTGCAGCTACTTGAGCT